TTCCCAGATGTTTTTGTTGTGGTGATGGTACTGACTCTTCAGCACCTCTTGGCCTACCTCAAGGGGGCAGTAGGTTGGAGATAAAGAGTTAAAAGTGGCCCCTCTTTGTCTACAACATTGCTTATTTGTTTAAGAGACTACACATCTGAGGTCACTTCCTTCTGCCCATGTTCCTGGGCAGACATGCACAGAGCACATGCTCTTTGATTCTCTTCCTGATAAGATGTAGCTAGATGCTAGGCTTTGCCTATCCCTGCAATGTATTTCCTATAAATAAATCTCCTTTCTGTCATGTTAAAAACCTGCTTCACTAACCCGCACTGAGATAATATTCCTACCATCAGGAATGCTCATATGAACACATGGAATGGTTCAATTTCCAAACTTTTTTTACTTCCCAGTCTAGTCTACAGCCTTGAGATCGATGGTCTCCCACTCAAATATTAACCAGAACTAACCCTACTCATCTTCCAGATCCAGAATGACAACCCTATGTTCTGCCCCCCCTTAGAGAAGGTCACTAAGAAAGGTAATAAGTGCTGTAAACATTAGAAATATTGTTCTTCTAATTCATCATTAATTGCCACACCAGGCAATTTCGCAGTTTATTGACTCCTTTGGGAAGGTTGGTTTGTTTTCATTATTAAGTTTTATCATGATAAAGCTACCCTAAGAAAATGAGGATTGGGGCTGTGAAAATTATTTGGAAGACATCTTTGGACCTTATGCTAAAATGGCACTTCTCTTCTATCAAAGCACTTGATCCTTTTTTCAGGCATTCAGGTGAACCTGAGGGAAAAGTGCTGCTGCTTTAAGAATTTTATGAACTCTAATGGTTGGACTCTGCATTGCCCTTTTTGCAGGCTTGCACATCATCCTGAAGGAAGTCAAGCTGGTTTCATGAATAATAGAGAAGTGCTGCACTTGCCCAAAGTTCAAAGTACTTCTTCCGAATCACTTCTTCCTAATAAAGATGAACTTTTAGTGCCCAAGTTTGTTTGCAAAGCTTCAACAGGTGGGAGTTCCTGGCTGATTTTGCCTGGTTTTGGAAGATAAGTAAGGTTGAGCCTGGTTAGTGCTTGGATGGGATACATCCAGGAAACACAGAGCTGCAGAGGCTAGACTGGGAAGTTGAGAAAACATCTGGAAAAAGGCAGTGGCAAACCACTTCTACACTATTGCCAAGAAATCTACTTGGATATCCACAGTGTCAAACCAGGAGTCAAGCTTGACTCAGAGGAAGTTTTACATTATTTTGCTTTTAAAACAGGGGCAGGGAGGGAATCCTTTCTACCAAATTTACATTCTCTCTGGGACAATCCCTCAGCGAGCAAGACAGAGTCCAAGTGGTCAGTGGCACCAGAGCTGAACACAGATGAGGACTCTTTTCTTGCTCCTTTTGGGACAGCTCTATCATTCTCTCCGCCCTTCCTCCCAGCCAAACGGGTTGGCACGAAAAGGTCCAATTGCCCTTTCCAGAAATCAGAAGTGAAGACCACATATGACCCTAAGACAACAGATTGTACACCCCAAATGTAATAGTTGATAGCTGTGTCGAATAAAACACCTGTTTCCTAGAATACTCTTACCTATAGAAGTTAATGGAAAGTTTGGTAAGGTTTTCCTCAAGTTCTAATCAAGTACTCAGATTAGGGTTTCCTTCAGTATGCTCCTGAGGCCTTCCAAGGACTGCAAAGGTGCATGGTGGAAAATAGATGTTGTTAAGCCACTGAGACTTTACAGATAATTACAGTTAGATAATTTTAGATATATATGTTTTAGATATATTCACAATGTACAGCCTGATCCTATGCATGGTTATTTGGAAATAGCCCTACTGTGGGACTCATTTTCAAGTCGGAATGTATAGCATTGCAATCTTATTTTCAAAAGTGGTATATTTTAAATGCACTGGTTGCCATGGCTTTGTATGCTTCATAATAAAAATAACAAAGCTCAACTCAAAGTCTTTTCATAGGTAAAGAGTGACTTTGTGCTTCTGACGTACAACTAGGGTGGCCATTGTTACAGAGAGGAGGATGCAGATCTCGTTAGCAATTGCCAACAGAGACCTGTGCCTGGTCTCTCCTGCTGATTCTGACACAGGTTGAAGACTCCATCTTGTTCAGGAATACACGGGAGAGTTAGAAAGTTGGGAGAATGGTACCAATGAGACAAATTTCCCAGAGCACTACAAAACCTTTGCCCAATTTATTTAAGGTTCCTTCTAGAGAAAAGGTGCAAGGGGTCTTTTGCAGAGGCATACTGATTATCAGGAAAAAGTCGACTCTATCTTCCAGCCCTCTGATTCTTGAAAAAAATGAAACAAGTCCAAATAGACATCCACCCACCATCCACACTCAAGTAAATGTGACAAAACAGGCATTGCACCAAAATGAAATTTTTTTGGTTGAAGGAATCTGGGGGCCCAATGCCACACCAGGGTTGAAGCCCACCCATAAACTTTAGATTAACACGATAGATGTGAAATGAAAATGATGTATTTAAAATGGAATGTCCACAGAATCTGAATAAAAAATTAAAGAGATATCTAGAAGAAACTATTTGATTCAAAAGTGACCACACAGTGAAATGTGATCCCCCCATGACCCAATCAATTAAAATATGATTGGCCAAAGCAAACATAAGGTGCTCACTTTGGAAGTGGAGCGATTGAGTAGAGCTTTCATGCCTCAGTTGCTTAACTTTTGCCTGATTCTGCCTGCTACTCTGCTTAGAGGGGAGGACATTTTACTTACACGGACTTTACAGTGCAGCTGCATATGTTGCAGTCCCCCCCTTAAACTGCCCTTGTTTTTGATAGATGGACGTGCTTTTGAAAAATGCAAAGGACTATAGCTACCCACTTTCTTTCCTGAGAATGCTGGGTGGAGTCATTTTTGGAAATAAAGACGGTGCTGGAAGCATGCCAACCAATCAAGTTAAAGCAAATAAATCGTTTTCGTGTTAATGAAGAGTATGCACAGGCACCAAGGGACTTAAATACAGGCACACTGGGGCCATTGGGCATCATGCCATTCTGTTTTTCCTTTCATCTCCTTGCTTCAGTACACTTGGAGGCTTACCTGCAGCACCCTCAATAGATGAATGTTACTAATTAATGCCAGGTTGGCAAATGGGAGGGGATGTGCTACCTCCAATTTCTTGCAGAAGGGCATGCTGACTTGGCTTGCATCATTGGTGGATCTGAATTTACCGTACTTTTGACAGGCTCCAATATGAATACAGTGGGCCTAGTTATCTGGCTGGTTCTCAGCTTGGACAGCAGGAGAAGACCAAGACATAGTCTCTTGTTCTTTCTAATTATAAAATCAGTAAGAGGTGAATATCTATTTGTGGATGGTACAACATCATCATGTGGGGAAGTTCCATTCCAGGGAGTCTTGAATGACAATGATTATTTAGATCAGCTCCAGTTGGGTTCCAGACCCTGCTCTGGGACGGACACAGCCTGTGTGGCCCATGAAAATGGCCTGCATTAAGTTATGGAAAGGAAAAATGCAAATGTGGTGGTGCTCCTTCATCATCTGGCCTTCAGCCTAGCCTAAAAATTAGCTGTTCATCCTCGTTTTAATTGAATTGCGACTATGTGGTTAAAATGCAATTTTTAAAAAGATTAGGATTATACTAATAATGCTTCAGCAGGTGGCAGCAGCTGATTAACCTTATTTGGGCTTGGAAGATAGGCAGGGATGGCCTGGTTAATACATGGATGGGAGACCACTAAGAAATAAGAGGCTGGAAAGCTAGATGTTGAAAAATATCTCAGAAGCCTCTTACTCTCGGCAAGAAAAGTGCAGTGATGTGTCTTTATAGTCACCAGGAGCCCATACGACTTCAAGGAAACTTATCCTTTTTAATAAAGTTAGATAAATAATAATGTATGCATGTTAACAATCTGTTTCATCTCCATGAGAAGTGTATATTGAAAGAGGTTAGTTGGATTGGGGGATTAATGTTAAGGCATCCAGTAACAGGACAGGAATATTGTAGGTGGAAAAATGAGGAGAAGAACAGAACTCATAATTGTGGAAAAGGGAAAACAGAAGATCTATTGATTTTGCAAAAGTGATGGCAGGGAATCACAACAACAAAGAAAAAACTAAAAGTTTGAGGATTTGGTATCACCTGTTCAGGGATGATTAAAGTGAAGATCTAATTAACAGCTCAGAGAGTATGTAATTTAGTGACAGAGAGGTCCCTCCTCAAATATGGTTTCTTACTCTATGTATGGAAAAAGTTCTTGAGTATTAAAAAGAGGCCTAGTATGTACTGTAGTACTTATATTCTCCAAGAAGCCTCTGATCTAGCTGGAGATTAGCGCTTCTGCCCAGCATATTGTAAATTCTGCAAAATGTATGGCATTCTTTGCCCTGCTTGACTCAAGATGAAACTGGACATTGCCTCCCCCTGTGCTACAATTCCCTATATAGTCCCTGCGCTTGCACATAAGGGGAGGGGGGGTTCTCTACTGAAGACCACATTTGCAGCTAAAATCTAGTCCTACTTACCACAATCCCTATTAATTAATCCCTATTAAGACTGTTTATATGCTGCACTGGCCCTACTGAACAGGCTTGATTTCACTCTACTCCGTTTTCTGAGTTCACACGAAACCTGAGCTCTCAGCTAAGCACGCGGACCGGCTTCGCAGGACACGTTGGGTTAAAAAGTAAGCGGCTGGTTTGTGGCCCAGGGTGTCGTGCGAACCCAACCCAGGACTGCAGGCCCAGGAGACGGTCCTTCCTTCTTCTTGCGATAGAAACCCTCGCATCTCGTTTCTCAGTTTGCAGGAAGTTGAAAGAAGAAGGATGGAAACGGGCAGTCCCGTGTCTGGGTATATATTGTAGGTGGTGTCAGTCGTGCGAGCCCCCTCCCGCCCTGTTTTCCCCTCCCTCGCTGGCCTGCCTCTCCCTGCCTCTCTCCCCTGCCCGCCCGTTCCTTCTCAGCTGATTACTTTTCCCCCCATCCTTTCCCACAGTAGCTTCTAATCCAGACTGTATGGTATGTGGGCTGGTCACAGATCCCATGTGGTCCGACATCATTGACATGGCGGAATCCCCCTCCGAACCCGCCTGGTAGTTATTCAGGCTTGCTCACTCTCTCAGCCAGGCGGGGATTTATCGGACTGCTGGTCGCCTCCCTCCCTCCGAAGGACAGACAGGGCATTTCTCCTCGCGCGCAACCCCGTTTCCAGCCCAAGGTAAGCCCCTCGCCTCTGCCGTCTTCTCCGTCCCTGGAAAGCTGGAGGGAAAAATGCCCTGCGTGAAAACGGATTTCTCGCTACCGCCGCCCCCGCCGGTCCCCGGTGTCTGGAAAAGCAAACGAGACGCTTCCGATTGCAAGAATAAAAAGCGCCGAGTTTCCGTCCGGGGCTTGCAAAGGCAGAAGGCTTCTCAGCCGCCTAGCTTTCCAAAAGTGTGTGTGTGTGTCGGGAAGGTGGCGGGTCGTGTCTTTCTTTTCTCTTCCCGATCCGGGTTCCTTTTGTTTCAGAGTGGGAAAATCTCCCGGGTGTGAACCGGGATGGGGGGGGGGGGGCAGGGGGGAGGAAAAAATGCCTGGTGTGAAACCGTATTCTCCGCGACCCCCCCCCCCGCCGGTCCCCGGTGTCTGGAAAAGCAAACGAGACGCTTCCGATTGCAAGAATAAAAAGCGCCGAGTTTCCGTCCGGGGCTTGCAAAGGCAGAAGGCTTCTCAGCCGCCTAGCTT